TGAAACTGCTTTACAAAAATGTGTCTCACTACAATCTGCTAATGTCCTATCTCATATTCCTTGCAAACGAGAGGTCAGACCAACAAAGATATCCTCACTGCAAGGAATTGTTAGACCACCCATTGGATGCTCAAACCCGAATTCTTCCTCAGCCTGACTTAACAAGACTTGGAATGAAGGCTGGTTCAGATATGATATTGGAATCACAAATCGCTTCTTTAGGCTCTCCCCAACATAAACTGCAAAATACCCCTTCGGGACATCTGTAGCTGCTAAGGTTGTGTGGTTTGCTGTCAAGAAGGATCGTCGAACAATTTGCTTAAAATTAAAAATACGAGACATAAGGACTGCCATGACTCTAAAAGGGTATGTCTTTGTGAATGAAGAGTGAAAAACGAATGATCTTGGAGGACTTTGTGGAACAAGTGAAAACTGAGACAGTGGAGTTTGTGAGGACTTGTGCTGGTTGTAAACCCAATCATGTCTATATATAGATGAATGAATATGTGTGAATTGTGATACCCTTCAAAAAAAGTAGCTGAGTGGTGAGGAGGCATTGAATTGAGGGTCAGTGAGAGACATTGGCACATGAGGCATCACATGGTTTTGTTTTTCAATCATCATCCGGAAGTTGGAGTGATACCCTGGAGTGTATATTTGTTAGAAGGCATCACACCCTACCACTTCTGGTAAGGTAGCTTGCAGAGGACCCCCTTGAAATTAGAAAAATAAGAAGGCTACCCTTTGACTTTAGAAAAAAAAATAATGTTCTGATCTTATTGAACAAAGCATAATTGAAACACATCGGCCTATTCTAAGTGAGACATCTGCATATGTATGGCTCCGGCTGATTGTAAATGGGTATCCAACAAACCAATTTGGTTGAAGACTTAATAAGAGGGCCCAATATGCCGACCTCATAAATGTTCACTGGACAAAGTCTGTTGTGTTGCTTCCTACTTGTTAATTTTGTGGTCAAATAAGCATGAAGGCCACTAGTACTACCCAAGTTATGACAATAACAAGCAAGTAGGTTTGGAGGAGTTAGCTGGTCATGTGATGATGTTCTTGACATGTACAACATAGAACTAGGAATGATATGTGCTTGGCTTCAGTTTAACGGATGTCAGGTTGAGTAGAAACATTAACCAGCAAAACTTACGATGTTCTTCTATGGTTCTGACATCTTGAAACAAATTAATAAGATTACTGAACCGAACCAAGCTTTCAAATTAAATTATGTAGATACAAAATTGAATTACAATGAGACAGAGTCCAAAAAGGACACTGATCTATATGAAATTGGTGTAAATGTATCCGACTCAATATTTCCACGAGTGAATTATATTTCCACGAGTGAAATTGGTGTAAATTATATGTATCCGACTCATTACATTGAGATCTCAAAGATTTCATCTGGACGTGCATCTATTCTAGCCTAGTGGCAAATTAATGCCTTATCAAGCAGGGTTTCTTTGTAAAGATTCAAGATATACGATATGATGCCATTAATGTTTATAGGTATTCATCAATAACCGAACAGTATTCATGTGGGAACTTGTTAAATTGCAAGTCTCAAGGTTGTGTAGCAGAGAAGCTCACTGTGGTTTAGGAGGAGCAAAGGGAGGTGGTTAAGAAGAGTGACGAGGAGGAATTGTGAGGGAGAACACGAGAGTAGTGTTCGTTTGACATAGTTATGTTGTGGAAGAATTTGGACGGTCAGACGCAAAAGGGTCATTTTTATTTGTGGCTCTTGAACTATGCAAAATTAATACCTAACCTATCAAAGAGAATGGAAAAAAGGATAAGTTTGATACCATATTGGTGTGGTATTTTTCCAATTTTTTACTTTCATTTTTGTTTTGCTTAAATATAGCGGTATTTGGACTTTGGTATCTGCTCCATTATAGCCTTAAAACTCCGCAAGGCCAAGAGTTCAAGATGCCAATGGAGCATGATTAAAGAAAAGTTGATGCTAGTTAAAAGAAAGAGAATAACTGAATGTCGTAATTGAGATACAATCTATGGGGGAGCAAGTTTTTCAACTGAATAATGCTTTTGCTTCTGAAATTGAATGAAATGTGAGAGAAATGGTCATCACGTCTCTTCATATTTTTCATACATGGAAAGAACTACATCCCTTAAGCAGCTCTTCTGCCTGGACAAAAAGAAGCAAAATTTACATGAACTGCTTTACAAAAGTGTGTTTTACTGCAATCTGCTAATGTCCTATCTCATAGTCCTTGCAAACGAGACGTGAGATCAACAAAGACATCCTCCTTGCAAGGAATTGTGAGACCACCCATTGGATGATCAAAGCCGAATTCTTCCTCAGCCCGACTTAACAAGTCTTGGAATGAAGGCTGGTTCAGGTATGATACAGGAATCACAAATCGTTTCATTTGGCTCTGCCCAACATAAACTGCTAAATACCCCTTCGGGACATCTATGGGTGCTGAGGTTGCGTGGTTTGCTGTCAAGAAGGATTGTCGAACAATCTGCTTGGCATTAAAAATGCGAGAAATAAGGACTGCCATGATTCTAAAAAGGTTAGTCTTTCTGAAGGAAGAGTGAAAAACAATATTGTGCAAAGGACTTTGTGGAGAACAAGTGAAAGCTGAGACAATTGAGTTTGTGAGGACTTGTGCTGGTTGTAATCCCAATCATGTCTATATATAGATGAATGGATATGTGTGATACCCTTCAAAAAGAAGCCCGAGTGGTGAGGAGGTATTTGGATGAGGGCCAGTGAGAAACATACGCACATGAGGCATCACATGGTTTTGTTTTTCAATAATCATCTTCATGCCCTACCACTTCTACTAATGTAGCCCTCAGAGGACCCCCTCGAAATTAAAGAAATAAGAAGGATCAAAACATAATTGAGACATCGGCATGTGTGTGTTGCCTTCTGATTGTGATGGGTGTCCAACAAACCAATTGAGTTGATGACTTAATAAGAGGGTCTAATATGATTCTCTCTCATACTTTCACTGGATAAAGTGTGCTTTTGTTGTTCACTACTTGTAAATTTGGTGGTCAAGTAAGCATGAAGGACCACCAGTACTACCTAAATTATGACACTAACAAGCAAGTAGTGTTGGAGAAGTAAGCTGCTCATATGACAATGTTAGGAACATGTGCAAGACAAAATTGGGAATGATATGTGCTTGGCTCGGTTTTCAGAGTTGACAGGTTGACTGGAAGAATTTAATTAGCATTATCAAATGATGTTCTATGGCTGCTAGCATCTTGAGACAATGTTTTTTAAGACATGATACAACGCTCTTAATGATTATACATAGTCATGTATAATCGAACAGTATTTATTGAGTCCAAGTATGAAATTACCCCTCCTGATCAATATAATCACCTCATATTTATGAACATTCCAAAATAAAAGAAGTCAAGGAAAGGTTGAACTTCAGGAATCATTATTTATGTAAAAACATTCATGAAGGGGGTGCATATTCGGGGTTTACCTGACTTTAATATCACTTGGCCAAATGATACATAGCCCAGTTGCCGGTGCAGAATTGGCAAACACATTCATTTGTTAACCCAATTCCCAAAGGAAAAGTGTAGAGCACCCTCGTGACATTACTGATAATGTGACACAATAGCTCCAAGATTAGCATGTTAATTTTTTTTGAACCAGTCTGAGTCCCCTAGTCCACAGATTCCCCTGTCTCAACCCAACGAGAGTGCATTTGTTGACATGATATTTATCGTAAGGTTAATTACAAAACACCATTGATGCCTTATTGGGTTAAACTGCAATGACCACAAAAGCACAGGATGATCAACATGATATTTTTGTTTGAGCAATGTTAAATTGCAATTCTCGAGGTGGTGCAGCAGAGAATCTCACTGAGGTTTAAGAGGAGCAAAAGGAAGTGGTTAAGAAGAGTGATGAAGAGAGACAGTGTCAGAACATGACACTAGTGTCCGTAGGACATCAGTGATTTAGTAGCAGAATTTTGAAGGTCAGAGACTAGATGTTATCTTCGTGCAGCTACCCAAATGATAATGAATCTGTGGCTCTTGCCTCTTGCACTATGCAGAGTTAATACCTACCTATCAAATAGAGCTTGACTAAGGAAAAGTTGGTGCCAATTAAACAAAATAGGAAAAAATGAATGCTGAAACTCAAATAGAATCTATTTAAACAAGTATTTCAACTGAATATCTACAATTTTTTTCTTATATGGGGATCTGCATCCCTTAAGAAGCTCTTCTGTGAATAG